AATAATAATAATAATGATAATAATTTTGAGGTAAGATATATAATATATATTTATTTTATTTATATAATAATAATAATTTTAATATATTCTAATTTATTAGGGTATCAATAATATAAATAATCTTGAAAATGAAAATAATAATAATAATGATAATAATTTTGAGGTAAGATATATAATATATATTTATTTTATTTATATAATAATAATAATAATTTTAATATATTCTAATTTATTAGGGTATCCAAAAAGTTTCTGAATACTTGCATGCAATAGCTAATTGCCCAATGCGATGGAATTCTTCTTACCTCGCCTGAATTGGCTTCTTAAATTAAGAAACTATATTAGTCTTCTCGTAAACTTACTTTCAACTAAATCTGACACTGAAGCCAAAAAAGATCTCAAATATTTGAAGAAAATTTTGCTTTTTGATGAGGAATGGGATATAATAAGTAATTTAGTAGAGATTCTTGAGCTGTTTGCTGAGGCCACTGATTACTTAGGTAGAAGTAATTATTGTACTTATTCGATAATGGTTCCTGTTTTAATTGAGCTTAAGAAAAATTGTCAGTTATCAATCTCTAATAACAATAATATAGCAGACATTAATGTTGATGATGATAATAACTTTCAAGACTTATTTGATGATGATGATGCTACAACTGATGAAGAAGATGATGATAAACAGGCTTATACACCAATTAGTATAGACATTAATGAAATTAAAAATAATCTGTATAATACAATGAACTATTATTGGCCTAATTTAACATCACCAAGTTCACTTCTACCTAGTCTTTTAGATCCCAGGTGCAAAAATCTATCGTTTGTCTCATTTGCTGAACGGTTCACTACTGAAAATTTACTTTGTGATGAATATAAAAAAATGAAAAATAATATAGACAAAGAGAAAAAAAATGTTAGAACGGAGGTTAAATCAACTTCTGTAAAAAAAAAAACTAAAAGTAGCATTCTTTCTAGTTTTAAAAAACATATGCCAGTTACAGTTGAAGAGATTTCTGACTATCTAAAGCTTGAAGAAATTGATGTTGAGTACGATTCTTTTGTGTGGTGGTATGAGCGGCGTAACAAATTTCCGGTTATAAGCAAACTCGCAAAACAGTATTTGGTGGTTTTTGCATCTTCAACAGCTAGTGAAAGGCTTTTCTCAGATGCAGGAAATTTAATAACTGCAAAGAGAACTCGTATAAGTCCTTTGCTATTTAAAAGATTAATATTTTTAAAAAAAAAATGAAAAATATTTGGATAGTATTTATCTATCTTAAGCATATATAGAAATAGAAATTATACATATACCTAATACTGTATTACATACAAATATTACAAGATTTATTATAAATTTTTAAAAAGTATTGTTACACGATTTTTTTATATTGTTTTACAATAGAAATTTGGACAAGTTAAAATTTTTTATAATTAAGATCATCTAAAATTTTACAGATTGTTTTTTTAGCATAAACGTTTAATCAAGTGTTTCACCAACTTTTACTAGAAGCGATTCTGATGATACCAGTGTGTAACACAAAGGTATTACATTAAATTTTTGGCATTTTTAAAATGAAAAATCTACAGCTTTTTCACTTAAAAGTTTCGAACTTCACGTGAGCAAGCTATAAAATGTTAGATATTATTATCAATCGGTTTTACAAAAAAACATAAAAGGAGTATTGCAAAATAACGTGAAGTTAATCTTTAGTTTTAACCAATTAAAATTTGTTTTTTAAAATTGTCAGATAATTTTTTTAGCCAATCAAAACCAATTTCTAGCATGCTACTGATAGAGATGTTACGGTCCTGCAAGGACCGTGGTCCGAACTGGTCTTTTGAACCAGTTCAACCAGTTTTTGGTCCTAAATAGAGGACTAGTCTGGACTAGTCCAAAGCTTAGAATGATCTCATTGGCTACAAAAAAAACAAAAAAAAAAACAAATTGGCGATGACTGTATCTATAAGTTTCCGATGTCGCAAATTCAGTAACTTATTGATTTATTGATTTTTGATTCGATAACTTGTCGATTCGGTAATTAGAAATTTTTTTAATTATCCTAGGATTTATAGTGATAGCTATAAGCAGTGTTTAAAATCTGGGACTGGGCTACTGTTCTCACCTTCTATTTAGTATTTTTAGAGTCAATTTTTGGGTGTTCTCTAATATAAAAAATTTTAAATTTTCAGCTTTTAGCTATTCTCACTCACAAATTTGTGTTCTTTATGAGAACACTAATTTCAAAAACTGGCTATAAGGTCTTTTTTATATGCAGCGATCATTAAAACCACAAAGCTTATTTTGAAAACCAGCCAATATACCGGTTTATAGACCGATTCTGGACTACGGTCTAGTCCGAGATCCTCTGCTAGGACCGGTCGTTAGGACCAAGACCGAGCTGGGACGGACTATAACATCTCTAGCTACTGAGTTTGGTGTTGCACATCATATCGATATCTGATATGATTATGATTTAGATTACTATCATAGTAATAGTGCAACACTATATATAATTTACACTATATAAGCTTTTCATCATCATAGTAATTCATTAGTATCTTTAAAGTGTTCTAACTCCCACTCTAGTAAAGCAAATTCAATTCTATAACTTGTAAATGATATTAGAATAGTGTAGTTTTAAAACTATTTTGAGATTTTTTAAATTCGGGCTTCTATAGTATAAACTTATAAATCATAACCATTTTACTATTAAAATTCATAACTAAAAAAACATTTGATCTTTTAATTATATTAATATAGTATTAAAACTACATAATTCTAATATTATTCTCAAGTTACAGAATTGAATTTGCTTTACTAGAGTGGGAGTTGGAACGTTTTAAAGATACTAATGAATTACTACATATGATGATAAAAATGATCAAAAATAGTAATCTAAATCATAATTATATCAGATATGATATGCAACACTTACCTGTTACATATTAATTATATGTATGATTTAGTCTGTTTAATTCTTTTAGGATAATATGAATATAGCTTTAATTGTAGCATAAGAAGATTCATAGATAAGTACACTAACATATATATTATAATTCTCTATTAAGGTTATAATTTTTAGATACATCACTGTGACTTTTTGGAATTGGACCTAAATTAAGAACCCTGAATTACTATGTAATTATCGTAATTATTAATATATCAACCACATGACACATCTATCAAAATGATCCCCAAATCTAATAAAACTAATATAATTATTGCGTCAAACCCATCTCCCCACCTTAAAACTCATCTCCTATTTTTTTAAAGTTGATCTTTTTATGGTATATATTATATATATCTCTTAAATAGTTAATCATAGTCAAAATCATTTGACTCATATTAACACATCCGTCATATATGCGTCATAATTTTTAGGTAGTGTAAAAAGTCGCAGTAATGGTATATTTAGTAGTACTAGTTATTTAGGTAGTGCATTGTATTCTTGTATTAATTTCGAAATTAAAAATTTATGATAAATTTTCATTGTTAAAAGTCTTTATATTTATTCATTGCATTATATTTCAAGAAAAAATTTCTTGTATTAATTATGCAAATGCGTTGTTTTTTCTAAATCTACATGTAAGTATTATAAGCAGATCAAATTATCATTCGAGAGCCCTCTACTAATATATATTTATATTCTCTTACTTATAGAAGTTATACTCTATAAGTATAGTAAAAAGAAGAATAGGGACTCAACAAAATTATATATATTAGATAATTTTGAATAATAATTGAGTATCTAAAGTGTTGAGCTATTATTGCACCTAGAGATAGTATATGTATCTTTAATTACTGGATTAGTAGTGGTTTATGTACTTCAAATTTTAATTGGTGTGTTGGATAAATGGCCGAAGTAGTGAGTAAATATGTAAAAATAATGGTAATAATATTGTAATAATATATTCAAATGATCAATTACTTATTGTCTAATAATAGAAAGCAAATATAACTCAGCAAAATGTTTAGTTTACTACAATAATGATTTAAAGTAACAATTTACTAGCCAAAATCCCCAAAATTATTGGTAGGAGCTGAGAATATAATACTAGATAACAAACTACCAGTTAGATAGTCATCTTGTAGAGAAAAAATTTAGAAATTAAATATGAGCTTGGTAGTCTTCTAGTTTTGAAAGGTATCTTAATTGATATTATAGCAGAATTTTTGATCGAACTGTAAATCTTAGACCTATTTTGAAAACTAATGAATATTAACTTCTCTTAAATAGGATGTAGAAAATCAATATTGGCAATATTGTTCTTTAAATTTATCGAAGAATTTCTAAGAATATTGTAACAGACAATATTAATATTAGTATTATTGGATTAAAGGCAATATTACTATTATATCTTAAGACCCTGCACGATTTAATGGTATTATAAGGTAAATAGAAGCTTCAATTCTACATATTTATTATTAATTTGTAGTGAACCTTATAATTAATTATTCATTATATTCGATATATTAACATTGATACTTTTGTAGTTACCATTGTATAATACAAAATCTGATATGTGGGCAAATATAGTATGTAATAAATCTATATAATTTTTATTATATATTAGCAATTAATAATCTAAATTTTGAATCAAAATAGAGTATATCTGATCCAACTTCTATTAGCAGTTATTTCTTAGCGATGTTTAGGTATGCTATTTAATATTATAGATAAGTGTTTCAAGTATGAATATTTCTGCAATTATTTATCATTTAAATAAAAGCTTCTAACAGATATGTTATAATTTTTAGTAGTTGGTAAGGCTCTTGGTTATCTGTGAATCTTAGATACTGTACTATCTAAATAGTCAATTAGAAGAATTTTAACTCTATTGTGGATCTAGCTAGCTCTTCATGGATATACTGCGGTAGTTGGCTCAAATTCTATATCTATGTGTAAATATTTGATTAACTTACTACATTATGACACTTTTTGATGAATTTCAATACTAATACATGTTGACAAGAGTCAACGAATTAAAAAGAAAGGGAAGAACTATACATGTATGCCTAAATTATTTTTGAAAAAAAGTATTTTCAGCAAACATTTTGGCTTTGCTAAACTTTTTATATGAAACCCTCTGAAATAACTATACTATATGATATATTTTGATGAAAAGAGTTCGAAAAATTTCAGCAATATTTTTGGCATATATGAAAATTAATTTCAGCACTATATAAGACTAATTTCGGCTGCCTAAATGCCATAATTACTTTTTTATTAAGATGGGCAATTTAGGTACACATGTATAGGAAGAACTAGTCAGGGTTACATACCACATGCTATAACCTCGCACTCAGATTATGAGCAGAAGGCATAGGTCAGAATTAAAAAACAATCAATCTGTTAAATTGTATGAATTAACATGCAATCGGAAACACACATAATAGAAAAGCTACCTATCATAAAAATAACCAAAAACAAGATATTTTAACACACTTTCTTACTTTGACATATTAGTCTTCAGCAAACAAATTTCTTGACCTAACCTCTCCTGCCACACATTGTAGTCTTCTGATTCTGTTATTTTTCTATTTAACAGCTGGCCAGCTTCGAACATGCGAGAAACTACTAGCTGATGCTGCTTCTTGCTCATTTTACTTGGTGCCTGGGAGCATATTATTATTTCAGTTCAATTTACTTAGCAAATTTACTTGCTAACATTACTCATAATGCTATAATATATTTTGTGGACTTCATATTCTTTAATTAAATTTATTTATAGCACCTTTAGCTAGCTGGCATTCATCTAACTACATAACTAGTTGTATTGATACTTTTTATACTAGTTAAAAGTGAAAAGATGAAACTTGAACTAATGCTAGCTAGAAATAAATATACTAACTATATTTCTGTTCTTGATATATTTAGATATTAAAGAACTAGCTTTACCAGAGATTTTGCATATACTTCGCCAAAGATTATTCATATACTATCTAATAAATTGCTAAAAAATTTATCATCAAACCTTTAAATATTATCTAATATATTAAAAGAAATTCATTTCAAATTTTTAATCTTAAATAAATTTACTTGACTACTAAATCTACATATTGTCAACCACTAGAGTTAAAACAGCCTATTAAAGTATAAATTAAGCAAATAGTAATACTGCGTACTTGAAGTTAGTGCTTGCTTTGATACAAATGCTGAAGTTAATCTGCCTAAAATTATTAAATAATATATGTATATTAACATTAATACTTACTTATCACAAATAATGATGTGCAATAATAAATATTCTTAGATTTGAATGACTTAATTTAATAAAATATTACTAGTTATTACGTGATGACAAATTAAGATTCAAATTTCAAGCTTGCAATTTAAAAAAGTATTGTATTTGTCAAAATTTAAATAAAAAAGAATTTTTTTTCAAAAAATTAATTATCTCGATCAAAATTACATGAGCTGCCATCAATAGAAATAACTTTTTAAAAAAATGAATATCTTAACTTTTACAGCTTATATTTCGATAGATTTTGAAGTTATCTTAATAATTTAATATTCAAATGAAAGCTTAGATCGTAAGCTTTCTTTTGACTATTAAATTATTAAGATAGCCTCAAAATCCATTGAGATATGAGCTGTGAAAGTTAAAATATTCATTTTTTTTAAAATATCAATCTGCTTTATTTTTATTGATGGTAGCTCATATGATTTTAGTACTATTCGATTCACCTCATCGAGACAAGTTGAATGGTACCAAAATCATAAGATTTTGGTCAGATAATTCGGATAATCCATTCGGATATCCGAATTAAAAAAATGAATATCTGGATATAGTATATCAGATAAATAGATTACGGATTGATCTGAATTAGAACTCTATTTAACAGGACTTTGTATGAAACTCTAGCAAAGTTCTCTAATAAAAACAAAGATAATTAAGACTTGTATATTCCCTCAGCTCTTTTTGCCTATAGACTATGAGGCATAACACTACTAGGCATGAACTTTTCTACCTTGCCTATAGACATGAAGTAACTCTCCCTGTAGAATTCCAAGTTGAAACTTTAAACTCTAAAATACAAGAAGAGGATGACTAACAGAATTTACTATAAAAAATATACTAACTAATAGGAAAATTACAAGAAGACCGAAATCAAGCCTAAAAAAATATTGAAAAGTCACAGATCTACCAAAAGCAAAGGCATAATAATAAACTCAAGCAAGTAATAAAATACAAAGTAAATGATCTAGTATTACTTCATAAAAGTGAACTCAAAGGAAGGCAAAAGCTTATTGACCCTTGGAAAGGATTCTACTATATATATGAAATACTTGCTAATAAAGCTTATAAGTTAATGACTATAGACCGAAAAGTTCTCAAGGATCCTGAAATAGTGATAGGTTAAAATTGTATCATCAATGTACTCTACCTGAACCCATAGTAGTAATAGGGACCAATTAAGCCTGAAGT